TGAAATTCCTTGCCAGCTCCTTTTCCTCCCCTCCTGTTACTTTAGGATCAGTTCAAGGGGATGAAGATGGAAACGCTTCTCTAAAACATGGGCCCACTGTTGATAATGATAGGTTTTACCCAAGGAGACTGATCAGTAACATGTCATCCTTATATCAGGGACTGGGGACATTTTCCATGATTGCAAAATTCCTACCTGGCAAGTTTTTCAGTAGTTGAGTCAAAGAAAGACATTTGGTTGACTGTAATGCATATGCTTGAACGTGCTTGCTATATTTCATGGCATTTCTCCTTTTCCTTATTATCCCCTTTCCTGCCTAGAGACCATTATATTCTTTCTTTGAAGAAAGGAAACTTTTACATTTCAACCCATGGTTCACACTTGGATTATTAAATCTTTGTTCTGACATCCTAAATAATTACTTAAATTTGTCGATATTCATACCTTTCCACAAATGCTTATCTTGTTATCCCCAACCTATGTATTCTTCAGTGACCAAAGTCTGCTGGATTTACCTTTCACCATTCTTAAAGAATCAGTGATTTCAACCATTACTTTTTCTTAACTTTATATTTCTTCTCAAAGTCTTCTAAATAATGAGGTACTGCAAAACTGTTTTTGATCTGCACCTTTAGGTCCTCACGGAAATTGAATTATAATTTACAATCCAGAGTTTCGAAAAGAAGTGGGAAAAAATAGTTTGAGTTTTTCATTCTATTAAATAATATTGATTACAATTAACTTTAACAAATATGGTAGAGTTGAACATCCAATGATAAAAGATCTATTGGGGGACATGGTGAAAGCTTTCCTGGAGATAGATAGATAACTCCTTTATACGCATCTTTGTTGATTGGGCTGGATTGACATGGCTGACAGGCTCTCCACAATTTCAATAAAGACAAATAGGCACTTTCTTTAGTGGTGGGGAGGGTTGGGGATGCATACTTGACAATGGTGCCATCCGCTAGTTAAAGATGTTATCCTCTGGTATTTCCCTGTATAATCATGGGCACTAGGTCTTTTTTCAGTGTTTCCATCTTTTGTTTTTGGTTAATGCTTCCCCAGCCAGATCTACCAAAGGGTTGTTGTCAGCCAGCCAAAGAAAGCTTGTGTCCCAAAAAGGATGTCACTGCTGAGGGCTTGGCCATGGGGCTCCTTGGCCACCCTGTAACTTCATCACTCTCTGAGGTGTGGGATGAACGGAGAACACATGGTCCAGCAGATGCTGGAGGGCATGTTTCTTAAATGAAAGTCAGTGGCCTTTGGGCTGAGACTGGCAAGCTTTGGAACAAGCTTTGGGATTTAGTTGGAAAGCAGCCTATACAGTCTGTATGGATAGTGCTCCCTAACCTCTGAATTGTTCTTGAGAGGAGTCTTCAAGCTTTCTCCCTCCACTCCTTCCATTCTTTGATGCTGGCAGAATTAAAACGTAGAGAGCACATCATCACGATAGAGTCTATAATGTCACATCCAAGAAAAAAAGGCAAAATATAACCAAACTCTATTTCTGGCTTTCATATTTGGGGAATTACCAAATATTTTATCTTCCAATAATTCAGGGGGTGAAACTAATAATCTAGCAAGTATTTCTGTTGTTTAGCAGAAGGCAAGTGATCTGGCTGTGATACCCTGTCAAGAATGCAGCTTTTCCAGGCCAGGCAACAGACATCTTTTAAATGATGTTGGGAAGGACTGGAGGTCAGGCAAGTTGTTGTAAAATAGGAAATATTTTAAAATTTTTTGTTGTATTAAAAAAATTCTGTTAAACCTGAATTTATTTAGTGTTTCTAGATGAAGCACAGGAAAACCAAATGTCTTGGTCTTGGTCTTCCGGGGTTGAAAGAACTGTGGGAGTGATAGTCAAGCCTCTTTGTTTAAAGATGCTTACGAGAGGTGTTTATTTCAATCAGGATGCAAACTTCGGTGAAAGCCTTTTCTTCCTTGCTTCCGACGTTGCGTGTTCCTCTATCCGGATGGGTATCAGAAAGCGAGCTTCAGGTTTGGGCCTGCTGAGCGAGGGGAATACTTAGTCTGCCCATTTAAAACAACTGGATTTTTGCTATTCGAATGTAGGAAACCTAATTACACTCTGGTAAATTCTCTTCAGTCTACCAAACATAGAAAAAACAGTGACAGAATCTGAAAGGCCAGAAAAGAGAAAAGAGTCCGTAAGACCTAATGAATCCAAACTAAACACCTCTCCACAGAAATGTCAAACATTTCTCTTAGCACAAAACAAGGCTTAAAGAATTCCCTGCTTTTGTCTCTGGCCTAATTCCTTAAGCAGAGAGGGGATTTTCCTCTGGGAGTGTTATTTCACAAAGAACGAAACAGCAAATAAACAAAAGACTCTCAAAGAGAGAGAGAGTATAAATAAAATTCATGACTCTTTAAAGAGTTTACACTGAAAGAATGTGGAGGATTATTTACAATTAAAGCATAGCGTCTAGAATACAATTATTATATATCTAAAACAAAGAATAAGAGTTCATTTCATTTTGTTCACGAGAAAGTGCACCTGAACACGCTGACTTAAAAAAAATTATGAAACTTCATTTTCTCAAGATTTTTCTGTTGCTTTTTGTATACATTTAAAACTTCTTACATATTTAATAGAGCATTTGCTAATCAACTTGTATCTTATTTTTTAAAGCTGCTGTTGGCATGTGCTGCTATTTGATTAAAAAAATAAATCAGCCTGAAAGAAACAAATACAAGTTTTGTTGTGTATGTGTTTAAAAGAAATTTTCAACATGGAACAAATAGCTTTAAAATGAGTGTTTTTGGCAGTGAAAATATTCTTTGGGTTGAACAAAAGAAAAGTTGCAATCTATTAAGGTAAAAGAGTTTGAATTGACAGAAAAGTAGGAGAAAGAACAAATTTAGAACTACCTAGTTTCCTGGCAAATGAGAGGATAATACAATGGGGTAGTTAAGAACAGAGATGAGGTTAGCGAAGGGGTAAGATGAGCATGAAACAAATGGAAGATTTCGGTATTAATGTAATAGGCAGACTGAAATAAATGGTTATTAAGATAAAAAAGCAGAGGCTAAAGAAACCACTTGATTATAAATTATAGAGTAATTAGTTCTCTTTTGAAGTGTGTGTGTGTGCGTGTGTGTGTGTGTGTGAGTGTTTACTAGGCATTTGAATTCTACTTTGAGTGTGACTTAAAAAACGTCAATAATAATGTTAAAAGCCACGAACAAGGGCCATCTAGACAAACAGAGTTTAAAGGTAGAGTCCTAGTTAAAGGATGGCCTCCTGCAAGGCTTAAGTCCTGGGCCTGGGAGAGGGGGCGAGGATTTCAGAGCGTGCAGAGTTTACAGCAAAGTTTAGATTGAGTCTTATCCTGACGTGCCTGTGTCGGTGAAATATCTGAAACATTTGGCCCCACGAGATTAAAAGAACAGTGCTTATATTTAGCATCTGCTGCCCCCAACTCCAACTTTGCTACTAATAAAATTCAGCTCTATGGAAAAGAATTTGAATTCCAGCTGGGCAGTTTTCAAAATAAGATGAAAAGTTAAGCAGGCAATTGGTGTGTATTTAGGGCTCAAAACACCTTGCCCCCTATAAGACTTGAAGGAGTTAATCCCTTCTCAAGATAATCCACTAAAGAGCATCCTTCATTATGATGTTAAAAGCAGGGATCAGTGCCGGGGAGTCTAACAATAGGACAGGGGGCTTTTCAGTCCCAACCACATTCTTCCCAGGTTAGAAACCGAAACTGCTATGATTCCAGCTGAAAAATAGAGCAGGACTTTTCTCTTCTGTGAAATATTCAGATGGAAGGAAGGGGAGAAAAATCTACCACGTTAACTAAATTCCCCATTAGGTACTTTTTCTTGGAGAATAATCTTTCTAATTTTTTTTTTTTTAAATGATTGTGCTGTCAGGAGGGGGAATAGCTCCCTGACTCAACAGTTACACAGTTCAGAAGCACTTTTGACTTCACGCAAAAGCGAATTTTTGATTAAATTAAAAGTACTCAATTACACCCCCCCCCCGCCCCCACTTAGTCTCCCTCCCACCATACTATATTCAATGAACACAAAGCTCACTATAAACTTTTACCAAAGCTTTTTTGGTCACTTTTTTGCCATGTTGCTCTTTGGTCTAGATTTGATCCTATGAGGTATTATGTTTTAAATTTAGGATCATATTTTATTTCTCAAAGACTTCAAATTATTTTCCATAAGTAAAAAAAAAGTTTAGTGTTTGTAAGCAAATGAATCTTAAAAACCTGATTTAAAAATCTTGTTTTTACTACATTTTAGCACGTTTCACAGTATTGATAATGCAATGTACTGTTTGTTGTTGCTTTCAAAACATTGCATAAGAAGTTAGTTTTAAAAATAATAATGATTCCTGTAAAAATCTTTAATATAAGCCCATATCTTAGGTAAATCAGGATAACAAAAGTTGGCCATCCCAGGCTAGAGGAAAGATTTTCTTTTTCTTTTGTTCCTTTTATTAAAAGTGTAACTATACATTTTTTTTGAAAGGCATATTTGTTTTTAAGGAACTTTGTTTTTACCGAAATTAACCCAAGACAGGGAAAGGCTTTTTGAAAAGTATGTTTCAAGTGGCATCAACTGGAATTCATGCACGCATGTTTGTATGCTCTGCCTCACGTGATCTCTTTTGTGTTCCCATGGTGCTCCGGGCATCTGGGATCTGAAGACTGTGAGCCATGGTTGCAGCCCTCCAGGAGGTGGCGGCTCTAGGGAGTGTAGGTTGGGTGTTGGGGTGGGTGAGGTAAAGCAGGGGAACTAGAGGGACTGGTTAGAAGAGAAAGAGGCATAGGCTGCTGTGGTTCGGATCTGGGTAAAAGAGCCAACTGGAAACATTGGTAAGATAAAGGACTTGAAGAGGAGAAAGCATGTGTGATACGTAAATAGAAGCCCTTGAAATATGGTCAGAGACAATATTATATGGAGAAATGTCAGAGGCTAGTATTTTAAACAGACTTTTATTAATATTTTACTTCCAGGAGAAGCATCATGGAAAGGGAAGGACTTTTGGGGTCAGAATTTCAACACTTACGAAGACTACAACTTGCTTTTGTTGCCTTCTTTACCTTCTCTGAGAATAACTACACCTGAACTATAGGTTAGTATGATTCCCAGAGACAGCGCATCAAAACTTACGTTATTGTAATACACTGGTGGTAAAAACCAGAAGCCTGATGTTTGGTAGACCCTGTATGTTTGCTCATCTGTGAAGTGAGAATGGTACTAACTCACAGGGTTGGTCACTGGGAAGATAAAATATTATGATTCATAAATGACCCTGTGTGTGGCCCATAATAAGTCCTCAGTTAAGTTTAGCCAGAATGACAAAAATATATATATTGCAAAATGTCATATGTATAGAAAATGTACAAGAAAAATTAGACTCTCTTCCTTGTAAATATATGCTTCCTCATTTTAAAGGAAAGTAATGTGTATAAGGTTAATACAAGGAATGCAATTATTACTAAAGATTGTGGTGTTATAGCCAAAGTATTTTTCCTAACAAATATATCTGCAGCTGAATTTTATTTAGGAGATTTAAAAAATAAATTAATTAATGTGAACTCATTGTCTCTTCATCATATATTTATTGAGCTGCCATTTATCATGAAAATGAAGCAGGATTTGCATACAAGTTGCTTTTTTTTTTTTATCTCTTGTTACCTTATTTATTTCTCTCAACATTCATGTAAAATATTAGTCCTAGTCTTCATTTTAATAGATGAAGAAACAGATTAAAAATAGATCCAAGGGCATAGAGCTGGTGAGTAAGTGGCAAAGCCAGAATTTAAACCTCAAGCTCCCGCTCTGGATGTCTTCTCCAAAGCAGTGAGGCAGCATTGAGGTCTTTCTCTACTTGCTTCTCCAGGGCCTGACCTCCAGGAGGTCCTAGGAGATGCTTGTGGACTTGGACCCTCTGCTATCCTTAGCTGCTTTCTGATAGAAGACTCCTGGTTTCCACCACTATTCTACCCGACTGACTCTACACACATTGTACACCTGGAAACTACAGCTGCTACTCACTGTGTAGAGAAAGCTACTGTCCCAGTTGAGCCAAGGAATTCTACTAAGGTCCAAAACTTACTGTGTGTGCACATGCCATAGGACAGAATGTTCTACAAGTGAGTGACCTAGACTTCTACTTTGAGGAGAAAGTGTGAGTTGGGTTGGAAGAATGCCGTGACATTGCTTAGGAAAACTGTGTTCCCTGGCAAGCGGGCTGGAGAATGATTCTGAGTATTTTTCACCTTCCTAGAGTACCATGCATTGAATAAGTGTTCAGTAGCTACTAATTGAATTGAATGGTTGACGAAATAAAAGAAAAAAAAGTCTAGGTCAAGAAATTTTCTTAGGTTAAGAAGCGATCTTGAATTCACAGCTTAATCAATAATGATTTGCAGATTCATTATTCCCCAACTCGAAGTCGGTGCTGCTGGCTGCTTAGTTATTTTTAAACCTTTACTAGGTACATAAATACTTTCCTCTTTTAATAAGACTGAAACTGGGCAGTCTGTGCTCTATCATTAAATTCCATTTTATTCACAAATGTTTCAGTTTCTGGTTAGCCCTTTTAAGAAGTCATTAATTTATTACCCTATTTTCTTAACTTCTAAACAAAAAGCGGGAGTACAATGGAAATAAGCTCTTATTGGCCAGGAGAGAGAACACATTTCTGTCGGTTTAACTAGTAATTCAAGCTGCTGATAATGGCAATTGGAGGCCAATTTTGGGGAAGGTGGACAACCCTGGGCTGCATCTGCCATCCAACCACAGATTATGGCCTTGTATGGGTGGATTTTCAGCTACGGAAACCCGAAATTCTTGATGAAATAGGGAAAACATTGTACAGATATTCACAAAATGGGACATTGATAGTCATCAGAAAATTTACTGTGCCTGCCTGGTGGCACCATGGTTAAGTTCGCACGTTCTGCTTCTCGGTGGTGGCCTGGGGTTTGCTGGTTCGAATCCCGGGTGCGGACGTGGCACCACTCGGCACGCCATGCTGTGGTAGGCGTCCCATGTATAAAGTAGAGGAAGATGGGCACAGATGTTAGCTCAGGGCCAGGCACCCTCAGCAAAAAAGAGGGGGACTGGCAGTAGTTAGCTCAGGGCTAATCTTCCTCAAAAAAAAAAAAAAAAGAAAAAAAGAAAAAGAAAATTTACCACCTAGTATGTCTTTTGTCATCAGTTTCTCTTCCTTGAGATTACACATTTGTACACATGCCTTTTAATGTGTTCTTGAAAAAGATTAATAGAGACATTTTTCAAATAAGTACCATTTATTACCAATAGTGGAATATTTATATCCCATAATTAGTATTGCTTACAACTATATTGTGAGGTAAAAGTAAAGTTGAAATGCAGTAAAAGTTATATTTTAATGGCCATTTTTTATTTTCTAAAAAAATAAATAATGTGGTTAAAGTGTATACACATCGGCTGTCTACCAATTAAGATGTTTTAAATTCAATTTAATATTAAACTTAAAAAGCCACAAGGGGCAGTACAAGGATTCTTTTTAACATGTAATGGATTTAAACGTTTTTTGATAATTACAGAAATAACCCCAATCAGATAAATTTTTATAACTAAGAAAATTAAATGATTAAAAACTGAGGGTTATTAAAAAATAATTTTTTCTACAACTTTGCACAGCTAAGGAAAATATCTCCTATCATGTCCAGAAATAACTTTCCTATGTAAATACACCTTATCAGCATATCTCAGAAGATGTTCACGTCTCTGACCACAGACCTGTTGTGGTAGGAAGACCGTAAGATGGCTCCCAGTGGTCCTTGCCTCCTGGTATTTATGCTCGTGGGTAATCCCCTACCCTTGAGTGTGGGCCTGCCGCTTACTTCTAACCAACAAGAATACAGCAAATGCGATGGGATGTCACTTCTGTGATTACGTTTCATAGTGGGTCTCCATGTTGGAGAAACCCATGTGGCAAAGATCTGAGAGCAGCCTTTAGTCAACAGCCAGGTAGGAACTACGTCTTTCAAGGCCAATTTTTTTTAGAAGTGGGTGGCCAGGGCCTTCTTCCTAATCTGTTTTAGTTTGGAAGCTCCTCTGAAACCTCTCCACCGTGGGTGGCACTGCTGGTATTTGACCTATCAGTGGCATAGCTTTCAGCATCACAGCAACATGCAGCCACCGTAGTGTGACAACTGACAGACGGGTGGTGTGGTTCCCTGACCAGGAAATGAACCCAGGCTGTAGCAATGAGAGAGCTGAATCTTAACCGATAGCCCACCAGTGCTGAAAAGATGTTTAACGTCTATTATTAAATTTTTTAGAAAGTTAAACAACTTGTTAAAAACAAAAGTTAAAATCTACTCATCTCATATTTGTTATATGTGTGTAGGATTTAAAAAAAAATTTTTCAGCTTTATTGAGATATAATTGACATATAACATAGTGTAAATTTAAGGTGTATAATGTGTTGATTCGATACACTTATATACTGAAAAAATGATACCATTCATAGCGTTAGCTAACACCTGCACCACATCATATAATTAATATTTCTTTTTTGTGGTGAAAGTATTTAAGATCTACTCTCTTAACAACTTTCAAGTATATAATACAGTATTATTAACTATAATCACTGTGCAGTGCAGTAGATCCTGGGGACTTATTCATCTTCTAGCTGGAAGTTTGTGCTCTTTGACCAGCATCCCCTTTTCCCCCAAACCCCCTAGTCCCTGGCGCCCACCGATCTGCTCTGTTTCTATGAGTTTGGTTTTTTTAGATTCCACATATAAGTGAGATCACACAATATTTGTCTTTCTCATTTCACTTAGCATAATGCCCTCAAGACTCATCTGTGTTGTCACAAATGGCAGGATTTCCTTCTTTCTTATAGCTGAATAATATTCCGTTATATATATACACAATATTTCCCTATGTTGGCTATTGTGAATAATGCTGCAATGAAAGTGGGAGTACATCTCTTCAAGATCCTGTTTTCATTTGTTTTGGATCTGTACCTCAAAATGGGATTGCTGGATCATATGGTAGTTCTATTTTTGATTTTTTTAAGGAACATCCATACTGTTTCCCATAGTGGCCGCACCAATTTACATTCTCACCAACATTGCCCTTGTGCAAGGCTTCCCTTTTTTCCACATCCTCACCAACAGTTGTTATCTCTTGTCTGTTTGGTGAGAGCCATCCTAACAGGTGTGAGGTGACAACTTATTGTGGTTTTGATTTGTATTTCTCTGATGACTCGCGATATTGAGCACCCTTTTCTCTTCCTGTTGGCCATTTGTATATCTTCTTTGGAAAAATGTCCATTCAGTTCCCCTGCACATTTTTAAATCAGATTGTTTGTTTTCTTGCTGTCAAGTTGTATGAATTCTTTATATATATTTTGGATATTAACCCCAATCAGATATATGATTTGCAAATATTTTCTCCCATTTTGTAGGTTGCCTTTTCATTTTGTTGATGGTTTCCTTTGCTGTGCAGAAGCTTTTTGATTTGATGTAGTCTCACTTCTTTATTTTTACTTTTGTTGCCTTTGCTGGAAAAATATTTACTAAAATGCTATTTTTTTCTTTGGATGGAGTAAAATCAGATAAGCAAAAATAAACTCTCTGGATTTTCTACAATTTCTACAAGAAATACGTCTTTGAATGAATATTTCAAGGCTTTTATTAAGTTTATAGCTTGAGGTGAATGAAAGCGTTTCCCAGAGGACTTAAAATGTATTCCCATACCAACTTCCAGGCCTATCCTCATTGCCTCAAGCATGGTTGTGTGAAATACTTCTCAATGTGGTGCCATTTTCTTTTATAATGAATAATTCCAGCTATGGTCAATTCTTCTATCATCTAGAACACATGGCTAACCCCTAATATTTTTCTGGAATTAAAATTTAGCTGTTAAATAATGGAAAACCCAAATATGCATGATTTTTTCATATAAATTAAACTACGTACATATGTGATTAACCTACTGATTTATTAAAAGCCTTCTTAATCATTATGTTTACCTATAAGTGACCTATACTTGTTAAGCAAGTTGGCTACTGCACCCAAGGAATACATGTCTCTTTAGAAACATTTAAAATACATGCTATCCAAC